GCAAAAATTTTCAGAGTGTTTTGTTTGAACAATCTGAATCAGTATCACCATGAAGTCATGATAAAACTACAGATTCCTGGGTTCCATCTCAAATTTACTAAGTCAGAGTCTCTGATACTAAAGCTTTGGAACGTGAAAATTGGACAAGTTCCCTGGATGATTCTAAATCTTAAGAATCCCTTAGGTAAGAGTATGGAAAGAATATTGAAAGTTTCTAGAAGGAATCTTAATTTAAAAATGTGCTTCTTTCTGGATCATTTATAGAAGGCGTGATTTGTTTTTTGAATTTTATTTATTTGTTATACAGTAGGTTCTTATCAGTTATCTGTTCTATACATATCAGTGTATATATGTCAATCCCAATCTCCCAGTTCATCCCACCACCACCACACACTCACACCACCGCCCCCCGCTTTCCCCCCTTGGTGTCCATACTTTTGTTCTCTACATCCGTGTCACCACCCCTGGAAGGCATTATTTTTAAAATCTGAATTTAGATCATTGTTCTTCTAAGAATTTAGAGAAGGGTAAGATGTATATTTAAAATTACTTTGAGGTACTTTCCCTAATATTCATAGATTGAATAAGTTAAAGGCAATGCAATTAGGTGGCCATTAAAGGACTTAAAAAGCCAAAAAAAATCACGTATTCTTGCATAAAGTTTATGAATTTGAGGTAAAATCCTAGAAATGATTATAGGGAGTGAGTTGTCAACTTATGAAGCCAACAGCTTGGAGGCTTTTTGAGCAATTGAAAATGAATTTAACAGTGAAAGTATTTATTGTCCTTTGGCTGAAAACGTTATTTGAAATGAATATGTTTGGCTTGGGAGAAAGTTGTGAATGTATAGTGGATTATGGGGCCAGTTCTTTTTAGATTTATAATATTTCAAATACAATCTGCAATATTCTACCTGAGGGGAAAAATGCTTAGTAGCAAGTACTCCCAGCAAAGTCACTTTAGATTCCAATAACTTTGCTTTAAAGAACTTTTTTTTTTTCCTGTGGTACACGGGCCTACTCACTGTTGTGGCCTCTCCCATTGCGGAGTACAGGCTCTGGACGCGCAGGCTCAGCGGCCATGGCTCACGGGCCCAGCCGCTCCACGGCATGTGGGATCTTCCCGGACTGAGGCACAAACCCATGTCCCCTGCATCGGCAGGCGGACTCTTAACCACTGCGCCACCAGGGAAGCCCACAAGAATTCTTTTCTATAAAATGTGTATGCTTGTTCAATTTTCCCCTTGGATTTTTCTTTTTCTCTAACAATTGTCTTTAGCTAAATTCCAAGCAGATGTAAGAATAACTTTGATTATAATGGAAAATATACAAATGTGAGAATAATAACAATCATTTCATTTTGGGTACAGATCTCTTTAAAAAAAATTTTTATTAAAAAATTTTTTTTATTAAAAAAATTTTTTTATTAAAGTATGGTTGATTTATAATGTGTAAATTTTTACTTTTTTAAAAATTTATTTTATTGGATACAGATCTCTTTATAAACAAAATGCTTAAGCTCACTACGAACTTTCAGGTAAATGTGGAGAAACTATTTTGTAGTTTGAGGAGGGAAGGAAAAGGATATTTTGAAAATCCAATGTCTATCAGTCCTCTTGCTGAGGTGTTAAGTCTGATTTAAGTGTGCAGACAGTGCAAAGACAATTCCAAAGGGCTTCAGACAGTCATTTGACACTGTGATAGCTCAGGTGGCCCAGCTGATCATGTTTCCCCAGGCAGAATTAGAAAGTGTAAGTTTTTATAAAATTTTAATTTGATATTGGTTTTTCCTTACTGGTTTAATAAGGTAAATCCATCTTTACTAATAGCAATCTCACACATACATTCTCTCTCACAAGCACAGAGAGACTGAAATATTAAGGATTCTAGAAATAAGTTCTTCAGAATCAATAGACACAGTTAAAATGATATGGTAGATAGCATTCCCTAGAATCTTCATAGTAGAAAAGCCAAATATGAGGAAACACAGCTATTTGAATTGGATTTGCGGAAAAGTTCTGATTGTGGAACATTTCCATTATAAAACGTAAGAACTGTCGCAGAAAAGATTTCTTCCAGGCTCCTCTAATACCCTAGCACACATTTTGTACTTATTGCATATGATTATTTCATAATAGCCTTAAACACAAATTATGGTACAGAGACTTTGAGTGGGTTTGTTTTAACAAATTAGTCTTTGGGAGACTCAATAACTGGCAAATGGATTGGGAAGTAGTTTGACATCTCAGTTCTTAAGAATTGTGGGGTAAACTATCTCTTCTATATTGTTTGTACCTTTTATAGCATTTAGCAAGGTAAATGATGGTAAACTTGATTTGATATGATCTAAATCTGAAATATTGTGACATTTCTTGACTTAAAACCTTGATCCAGCAGCCACATAATCAAAAACTTTCCCCAATATTAACTTTCTATTTATATCTTTCACATTGTTTTTCTTTACACACAAAAAACAGCTCATGTTAAGGCCATCAGTTACTGCCATCAAATTCTAAATTAATTACAAGCAAAGTAAGTGACCAAAGACAATGACCATTTCAAAATCTTTATCCTCCTTGAACTTTCTGAAGCACTGAACACTGATAGGTAATTAGTAATAAAATTTAAATAGATGAAGATTCTTTTTATTATTGACCTTGAATCACACAGCTTCTTTTTCCTGTTTTCTCTTTTGTTCACTTTAATACTACTTTGTTTGTATTTTCACCGGGAAAAAAATGAAATTACACTGTATACAAAATTGTAAAAAATAGTATGGTCCTGAGAGGTACAAAATTAGTGATGAGATTTTTTAATGCAAAAATAGTTAATTAGTTAATAAATTTTCCTTCAGACTACTAGAAGGTATCTTTATAAAAAAATTGGACAAAGAACAAAAGGCATTTGTTTGAGGTTTTCACAGCACAACTGCAATCACTTTATTTCTGCTTCCCTAACTTAGCAGATAGAGAGTGAAGAAAGGTTGGCTGTATTACCACCAGTGCAGTTTATTTCTTCAGATTCAATAAATGAAATTCACAGTGGTCTCTGGAATTTCCATTACTGTACACTGGCACCAAGCATAGAATAAAAAACACATTTTATTTGGTTTTATTCAAGAAAAGTAGGTTTGTATTACACTTCTTCAGTACTTTAGCTATGGTAGTCAAACAATAGCACCAAACATTTTTTTCTTTAGAGTTTCTTAAATTTTTTTTGATGCCTCAATTAGGAATGGCATCCTTTTAGTAGAAAAAGAAGGCATCTTATCCAAAGTTAGGAATATGGAAAATATGGATGTGGCTTCTAGCCAGGAACATGAATGATTATTCCAACAAGAACACGAAAAGAACATTGTTATACAACATCCTAGCAGTTTTTAAAAGATCTGCTAAAGAAAAAGTCAGGCTTTCAATTACAGGTCGTGGACAAGATGTACACACTGTAAGGTTGAATCGTAAAAAGAACTTGCTGGTTTAAAAAGTAAGAAACAGTGAGATATAACCAATAACATTTATATAAATTAAAAATGCGTTAATATAAAGATACATATTTTAAAGGAACAAATACAAACCAAAAGGTGTATATTAGATTAAAAGTATTGTTCATAAGGAGGGGCACAAGAAAAGCGAATGGTAAAAACTGCAAAATATTAACAAAACACGAGAGAGGCCTATATGGACAATTAACACAATCAGCCACGCTTGAAGTCTGGCTAAATAAACAAACAGAATGCCAGTTTCCTGATTCATTAAGGTATGTTTGAGGCACATTTCTTACTTTTAAAAAAAAGGCACTTCTTTTTCTTTTTTTATACTTATTTGTTTGGCTGCACCAGGTCTTAGTTGCCACCTGCAGGATCTTTAGTTGCGGCATGCAAGCTCTTAGTTGTGGCATGCGAACTCTTAGTTGCAGCATGCACGTCGGATATAGCTCCCCGACCAGGGATCGAACCTGGGCCCCCTGCATTGGGAACGCAGAGCCTTACCCACTGGACCACCAGGGAAGTCCCCCGAGGGACATTTCTTGAACCAGCTTTTCACTACAATTCCAGTTAGACCTTTCCCTTTAGCGTTCTGATGCTCTTATTCCTTAAAATAGCAGTGATGTTAACAGCTAAACTTTGATGATTGCCAATGTTCTATGTGTTTTATATATTGATTTATACCTAATTTTCAAAACAACCAATGAGGTAATGTCATCATTGCCTCTATTTTACTAATGGAAAGGGCTGAGTGAGTGACCCAAAGTCACAGCTAGTTAGGTTCCTGACGCTGGAGACTTTCTTAACCATTATAATCCAGTTCTCACTGAATTCTTGTGTATAGTTGAAGTCAGCGTTTAGCATTTAATTACATACTATCTTTAGCTATCCTTTAAAAAAATAATTTACCTTCCAGTGAGGAAACTACTACAGCAATGTTTTTATTTAAAACTATTTTTCTCTAACATATTTTAAAATTTGAGGAAAATACAAAAAGCCCATATTCATAGGTGATTTTTGCCCTAAAAGTTTTACTAAATGCCTAAAGTATTTAGTAAAAAAAAAAAAGAAAAAAAAGGAAAAACCTATACATAGGGAAGAAATTAATTGGACTATTCAATCCCAGAGAGTAGTTACAATCAGTAGAACTGAAAATTCTTACTGAGATAAACGATAAATATGCTAATTATTAATAATATTAAATATTTTATAACCAAGTCTCACAATGGAGAGAAGAGTTAAGAATTAAATGCTTAAAATTCAAGGGGACAGGTAGCTTAAAATTATTTTGTTAGGGAGTTAAAATTGGACTAAAAGGGCTATGAGAACTATTGACGAAATTCAATTTATCTTCCTCATCATATAAGCAGCCGTTGAGCCCCTATGATATACCAGCACAATGCTGTTAGTCAATGGGGGAAAAAGAATTGCCTGCCCTTCTCCCTGTCACCTCTCCAGTCCTTCTTCCTGCTGCCTCCAACCTGTGGCTCCAGGAAAATCAAGTGTATCTGAGCTCAACTAATTGTCTAGGGCCATAGGGAAAGCATATGAAAGTGATCCTTCTTGGAATTACAGCTGGAGGCTGCTTGACATATGCCGGCCTCACAGCATACGGGAGACGCTGGGTTAAGCTGTAAGAACAGCGCTCCACGCCACCAGGCAGTAAATGGATTTCAGTTCCGCTTTAATTTCTAATGAACGGCCATGACTACGCCACACCCAGCAGCAGGAGGAGACGATCCTGCCGCATTGACAGCCTTTTTTAATGGCTGCCTTCCCGCTTATCACACCTCAGCCTGATTAAATTGTTATATAAAGAGAAATGTTTTTGCAATAAATATCTGTCGGGAATTTCAATCGGGTTCCAAGGCCAAAACGACAAACAAAAAAAGAATTGCCTGTCATCAAGAAACTTGTAGCGTAGAAGACAGAGAGACAATCACAAATTGTTAGCTGGAATTGAGTCTACATTGGGTAAGTAGGTTCTAACAGGAGCATGTACTTATTTCTAAAGGAGAGTAGTATTGAATGCCTTCGTTGAGGAAGTGATGCTGTATTTGTTGTGTTCTACAGACGGATGGGTGGTAAGGGGATTTTGGTTGAGCAAGCATCACAAGCAACGCTTGGAGTGAAGATATAACAGTAAATTCAGAAAACTGCAAAAATCTGGGTGAGGCTGTAGCAGAGGGCTTGTGGATGCAGGGTGGGGGACCCATCAAGACAGAGTTCTGGAGTAAGCAAGGGACGATCATGAAGGCTTCTGTGCCGAAAAGTGTCCAGTTCATGCTTTTAATCAGGCAATTACATATTCCTGAGTAAAGGTCTGTCACTTTTTCATCTGTCCCACCTCCAGACCTTTTTCTTATATGTAGAAAACTGCCCTTGATTGTAATCTTAGTGGGGCTCAGTAGCCCCTAAGTATCTCTTCTCTTCCCAGCCTCATAAAGCCAGGGTGGAGCTTATGGCAGGCTTAGCCAAGGAGAGGCATGTTCTTGGCTTAGAATTCATCTGCGGTGGCCCCCAGTGAAGGCTGTTGGTAAGACCCTCTGGTTCCAGTGATATTCAGCAGTAATGGCAATGCTTCCTGGCCAGATGATTTCTATCTAGTTTTTAAAAGCTTCCTTATCTTCTGCCTGTTTTCCAGGTTCACTCTTCCACCCTCTTCTCATTTATGTGATTCCACCTATCATTTTCAAAGAAACCCTTTTTTTGTTGAAACACCCGGAATTATTCTCTGGTATTTATAGCCAAGGAGTCTAGTAGAAAAAGATATCAATACCAGAAATCCATTATTGACATCAGATTGTTGGGAAATATTGGGGAATTCACATTGGTTATCTGCATAGCTTAGGTAAAAGGCAGTCAGAACCCTGAAATTATTCAGAGGTAAGAGTCTGGATGACAGTGACCCACAAAAATGGGACATGGGCCCTGTATAGTTACCGGAAATGACACATTTCCTGAGGGTAAGGCTTTGAAAAACCGTACAGTAAGTCCCCTACGTACAAACGAGTTCCTTCCAAGAGCACATTAGTAAGTCCAATTTGTTCATAAGTCCAACAAAGTTAGCCACTGATCTGGAAATAGAGGGCCACCCAAGAATTGGCATAGGGATTAGACAATAAGATACAGATGAGAAGGAGTGGTCATGATTCTCAGCCCCACCGAACCTCCTTTGTTTGCTGAAAGAGCCCCACACTACTTGATTTGTAAAGCAATTCCTTCCTTTTTGAAGATGCAACTAGTTCCTCAACTCAAGGCATTACCTTTAGGAGGGAATTTATTCTTTTCATGCCCCATTCCCCTTAACCTTCAATGATTCCCACCTATAATAAGAAGGGGCAACAGGATATCAATTAGAAAGTAAAATCTAGAGATGGAAATACTGTTATAAATGAACTACAGGAATTGCCTAACGTATATTGGCTAAAAATTGGAAAAGATGGATGGATTCTGAGGGTACTCAACCAAGGAGAGAGAATGATAACATTAGATAAAGCTGGATTAGTTATATGAGTGTACTTTCAGAGACTGTGGATCCATTAACATAGTTTAAGGAGCTGGGAGTCTGTTAGTTTGCTGAAACACCGCAAAATGGAACTCAACGGAAGCATACATTAAATGAAGTTGATTCCTTGGCATAGTATAGAAGCACAAAATAAAAATTTTCACAAAATGGAATTCTTATACTATATGATAAAATGGGTTTTTATCATGTATAATCCACCCATCCATCTTCACCAATTGAGACATATATTGGAGATGGGAATACCAGTATCTTTAAAAAGACTTTAGTGATGTCCCTGAATTGTTGGTGGAAGGCATAGCAATGAAAATTGATTCCCTGATTTCAGTGAGGAAGGGCAAATCTGGAGTGGAAGAGATAACGTAGTGTCATTTAACTACCAATGAGTAAAACAGATACATTTTCCATTAATAGATATCAGGATCAGTACAAAGTCAGAATAGTCTGATCCAAAAAGAACTTAACAGCCAATTGAGAATTAGATTTCTGGGAATGAAAGAGGTGTGAAGTCCTCTGTAGAGCTATTTGATTTGTGAAATTAATAACCCTCCAGAACTGCTCATCAGAGCCTTGAGTGTGTCATTATGACATATGATATGGAACTTCTGCCCTCCACTGAATTTTTAAAACATAGGTAAATCATGGACCTCGAGTCACCAGAATGAAAGAGAGGGCATCTTGTCTTAAATAAGTACTTTGCAATGATATCTCAAGTGTGTGCTACTATTTTTTTTTTTTAACCTAGTCTTCGCCTAAAAGAACCAGAGTTCGTTACCAAAGTAACTGTGCCCTGTGAAAGAAAACATGGTTTTGAAACACAACTAATTCCCAGGGACACAGGACACTTCTGCAGTCCACTACTGAGGGTATTTTGATGTTAAAATGACAAGTGGAGAAGCTACCTTTATCCTTCCCATATTTATTACCCAAGTTCTTGTACAGCTGGAATAGATGACTTCAAAATATGATGGATTCTTACATCAGCTCTGTAACCCATGCAAAAGGAACATTTTGATTGGAAATACCAAGTTGAAAATTGCAGAGCTTTCTACTCCTACAAAAATATTAAACTAATAGCAATAATGCTTCAATAAAAATCAGAAATATTAGTGCCATCTTTAGTGACTTAAAAGTGCAGGGCTAATGATCCTCAGCGGATTCTCATTTGTGTTTAGTAGTGGAAGGATAGTTTGAGAAGATAAAATTGGATTTTCCAAAGTTTAATTAGATGGCAACTTCTGTTGCAACTGCTGTTCCATATGGGGTCCAAATCATTATAGCTCTTAGTACTTTGTATAAAGCAACTGATCTGAATAATGTCTTTCTCCTCTATTCCAATAAACAAAATTACTAGAAGCAGTCTGTTTTATTTCACCAGACAGGAACAGTAATATAATTTTGCCATACTGTTTCTGGATTGTGTTAACTCCTTGGCTTTGTACCACATTATAGTCTGCAGAAATACCATCTCACAGAACATCATGTGATACAACCTAGAGGGTAAACTTTATTAGCTAGATACATTAATTAGACACTTGAATGCCAGCACATTGGAGCCAAATACAATGGAAGAATATAGGGCTGTCAAGTTATTGATTTATTTTAAAGGTTAAGAGGTCTAAGGAAAGTTGGGCTAGCTCTCTAAAGTGAAGACAGCTTGCTGAACCATGTCTCTATGGCCACTAGGAACATGAATAGTCTCTTTGAATTTTGGAGGCCACATGTTACTGCATGTGAGTCTCGTGCTGAGAAGCTGTAAGATTTGAGTTTGTCCCATGGCAAGAGAAGGCTCTCCAGACAGCAGAGGTCACAGTGATCCTGCTACTTATCACTCATCAGATTAAATGATATTTAAAGGGTTCATAGTAGGTCAGGTTGCTATATGTAGTGTGTGGTAAGCCTTAGTAAGAGAATTAAAACCCTAGCTTTCCAAAGCAAGGATATGCTTATATTTAGCAAATAACTACTATCCTTTTAAGAAACTGGACCCAAGGGGAAGCTAAACAACAATTTGACGTTAACTACTCATAAACCTAGTATTACCTGATCTATCTAGCCTAATCTCAATTGCTCAGCAGTGCTGATTCATCAAGTACACGGGGGCTCATGGGGGCCTTCTCTATGACCAGCTGACTAAGAAGAGTATAAATACAATTATAATTATATAAATTATAATCAAAATTATACGATTTGTAGGAAGAAATTGAGAGTGAAATGCTGCAACAGTATAGGACTGATTAGGATGCCCTGGAAGGCAGTTCGATAAGAAGCTAAGGAGAACAAGAATCCATATTTGACTCAATGGATCTCCTCAACATACTGGAGACATTATGAGTCTAATTCTCACTATTCTGATGAAATGCCTTCTTGTAAGAGACCTCTTCTGAAGTGCTTTGGAGGCGAGCTTTAAACTAATTGGCTTTCAAGTTGCTCACTTCCTGTTATCTTAGTATCCTCTGAAAGCCAATAGTGCTAAGGTGGAACATTTGTAGAAATGGAGGGAGCTTGAGAAGCTGGAGGAGAACAATCCTAGAGCATATTGGTTCTGGATGGTTGGTAACACAGCTCACCCAAGAATCACAGAGATATTTTTATTTTTATTTTTTGATTAGGTATTCAAAGTCTTCTTGTAGAGTCTTGGAGGAACCGGCACCAGAGAGAGTCATAAATATCAAAATTGAATCAAAACATAAATAGCTTATAAGTGACAGGGTGTGCTACTAGTTTCAGATAAATTTTGGACAGCATAGCCTCAGGATGCTTCATATACAAAGGCTAAACTATGCATGGAAGGTTATTTGCTATTTACTCACAACCAAAAAAATTCATGTTAGCAGTTTTAATAAAAAAATCAAAGTTATAAAAAGTACACTAAGAAGAATATGTGTTGACTTTTTCAATTTATTCCCAATATGTGTGTGTATGTGTGTAATATATATATAAAAGAGAGACAGAATACCTGATCCTTAGCTGACAAGTGCTATTGATTCTCATAGATCTTCTAATAAGATTACTAGTGCTTCTTCTTAAGTATCAAAATTCAGCAAAGCACCATCAGCTATGTGAGGAATGTTTCCAATGTGAAATACCTCTATAGGTCAAATCAAGCCAAGAAAAAAAAAAGATATCGAGGGAAATAAAATTCTTGCAGGGAGCAGAAAAAAACTCACAATACTATCAAAACCTTGTAGTTTTTAGTCTCGTTTTGAAGAGATTAAAAGAGAAGGTAGTAATTACATAAAATAAAAGAATGCTTTAGGAAGGGAACAACCAGAGAATGTTTCCAAAGTAAATACATGAAGTATGATATAGAAATTTTAAAGAAGACAAAATTAAGGAAATCTGTTGGAAAGCATAAAAATCTTTTGATAATGGAAACAGAAAAGAAGAGATCAAAGATTTAGACAGTGTAAGAAGGACGTGCACCATCTAAGACTTTCAAAAAGAG